TATAGATAAAGTTTATATATATTCATCAACATGACCCCATGTTATTAACATGAGTCATCCACAAGAAGAGAATCATAAAAAATTTTAGCATATAAAAGTTGACTTTGATGTCAAGAACTCAAATTTAATTTAACCAAAAAAAAAATAGTAGCAATCATAATGCCATTTTTTTTTTCTTGATCGCCATAATGATACAAGGCCCAGGTTAGTGTTTTTTTTTTTTTTTTTGTGACCTAGCCGCCATCTAAGAATCTTTCAACCTTTGTTTTTTTTCTCCTTCTTCGTGTGACCTACTGGCCGCCCATCCAAGATGCTTTCACACTCTTTTTTTTTTTAATTGTCTATAGCTATTAATTTGCAAGAAACAGGCATATTATATTTTTTAAAAAAAAAAAAATTTCAGTGAATGCCTGCTACTTTTTTCCTACTGTGTCAACGTCTGTATGAGAGCTATGGTCATTGACGAAACACAAAATTAAAAGTTACAATTAAAAAAAAAAGGTATAAAATTATAATATAATTTTTATCAAGTTCTAAAATTATATACGATAGGCTCTGATACCACATGTAAAAAATTTTAATGATTCGTATATGAAATTTAAAACACCTAAATTATAAGGTTTAGAACATACCTGTATAAGTCATTATATTCGATCTCCGAATTTCTTTCTTCAAAGGACAAGAGCTTTCTTTTCTTCGTCAAAGCAATAGACAGCTCTTAATGGGACAAACCAATTTAGGGTTATGAAGTAGAGAGGGGACCTAACTTTTTATTTATAATGAAATCTAATGGGCTCTCCCATTACGGGTCATAATTAGATTAAGGCTTACACTTAACCGCCTCAACCATATCAATTAAAAGATGTACATAAGCCTATCAAAATAGATCACTTAATAATATTGAGCTTATTTCATTGGACTATAAATTCAACTCGTTTTTCACAAACTAAAATTAATTATTAATTAATGACAATCCAATATAGAAAAAATTATAACACTCTAATCATCATGACCCACCACTACCTGGCTCCTTTAAAAAAATTTCTACCGTCCACATTCCTTTTTTTTTTTTTTTGAGAATTTTCGGAGGGAAGTATTATTTCTGGCTTTTCTTAAGGACAAGAGCGCTTTTCTAGAGGTTGAGTTTGTTTGTTTGGGTAAGAGATTCTTTCTATTCTTCTCTTCGTTTCTATATGAACCCTGACATATTACTATTTTATAAGAGTGTCGATGGGTTAGATTGGCTCACTGATTTTGTTATCCCGCTCAAAAAATAAGTCTAAAGTTCGATAGGTTCTGAACCTAATATCCTTCAAGAAAGAGTTTAGATTTTCATTTAAATCCATTATTTGGCCATAAATTAGGCCCATGAACTTGTTCACGAAACCCAGCCCTTAAGCTAGCCAGCCTAGCCCAACTCGACCAACCAACCCATCTATCATTGATTTTTTGAAACTTTGGTGGTAATAAATGTATCTACTTTAAAAAAAAAAAAAAAAAAAAAGGTTAGGTGCACTCGATGCTCAATTCAAAAAAAAAAAAGAGTTAGGTTCTTCTCCTATTCATAAATAAAATTATTAATTATTTATTTTTTGTCTATTTTAACTCTACTTTTAATTCTAAAATATAATTTATAAAAATATTAAGTCAAAAATTTTTTAAATGAAATTATATATATAAAGGTCGGGGTTGGACGGCCGATAGTCTACTTTTACCCAAAGCCCTATACTACCCGGACCTAGTCCAAAAAACAATTCGTGGGCCTAACCCATGGACATTCTACTATTTCCTTGTGATAATGATCTGGATAGTGTCACCAGTCCCTTCAACCCGCCTGCATCATCTGGTAAGTATCTTCATGAAAAATCAAGGTTTAGACAAGTGCTTTCAAGGTTCCCTACCAGAGATTGCATAGGTAATATCTATTCGTGCTGGTTTTAATCGGGTTTCATCTTTGTTGGGGATTTAAAGGGAGGATAACGAAAAAGTATTAGTGGACACTAATGACTTCTGATGATGTACAAATTAGTGTTGCACAAAATTAACAGTTGAATATATGAACGGGTGCAATTAATGAGCAATAAACAGACAATTAATAATAAAACAGTAAATAAGGGCAGACACACAGATATATAGTGGTTCGGTCCGAATGACCTACTCCATTCTTGATAACGGCAGCGGTGGTTGGAGATCTTTATTAATGAATAAAAGTCATCGAGAGAGTGTACTCCGAGGGAATTACAGTGCTTTGAGAGAGAGGAGCAATGTGTATATAGAGGTGTGTAGGGGTTTCAATGTCGCGCCCTTTATGTGGAGAGGGCTTACATTATATAGGTTTTGGCAAGGCGGTGACGTGAGAGAGAGGGCTTTTACTATTTTAATAAGTACAATTAAGGTAGGTTTCGATCTCCAAGTGAATCTTGATATTCTCTCCCTCTTGCTCCTATTCCGTCGAAGAAAGATCTTGAGCTGGGTTGGACTTGAATTGGAGTGGGCTGGACTTGAGTTGGTATGGCAAAGAGAAGAGGGCGAAGGACTCCACGGAGGTTGCGCAGGAGAAGGAGCGTGGAACAAAGGAGGAAAGAGATCCCCTTGGGGTGGCCCCCCTTGAGCGATTCCCCTTTGGGTAGCCTCCTTGGGCGGCACCTCTTTGGGGTGTCTCCCTTGGGTTCCTCTTTGACTTGATGACTTAGGCTCCGAGATGACGTGAGTCTCTCTTGATCCCATTGGACCTGACCCAATTAATTTTGTGCTCATCAACTTCGACGTGAATTTAGAACAAATTGAAAACTGCAAACTTTGGGGAGGAGGTTTTTGAAATATCTTCCTTGCCTCTTATTGAGAGGGCTTCTCTTTAGGAGGCTTGCACTCGCAAGGTCGAATACGGTTTCTTGGAAAGTAATTTGGCTGCTTTGAGGCTTGGGTACACTATTCTCGACTTTGTTTGCCTCTTTCTGAGCCATTTCAATGTTTTTTGGGGTACACTATTTGGTCTTTGTTTCAAGAAATATTATTCGAAAATTGTTTTTTAGAATAGTTTTATAAAAGTGTGTTATGATATTTTTTGTATCGTAATTTTTTTTTGTTATATGATTCCAAAAATAATTCTACAGAATAGAAAACAGTAAAATTTTTTTGGACAGTAACCTACAAAACAATGAAAACAGAAATGTGGTGATTGTGGGAGTGTGGTGGTGGTGTTTTTTAAATTTTGAAATTATTGTTTTCACAAACACACAAAATAACCCTAAATTGTTTTCTAAAATTACTCACTTTTTGTTCTCAGTTTTTAAAAATCAAAAACAAAAAATAGCTGGACAAATAGATTTTTTTTAGAAATTGTTTTCAAAAATAAAAAAATAATTTCTAAGATGCAAACCAAACATTACTAGTGTTTTTGTGATCTAATGAGCATCTTTAGTATTTTTTTTTCATTTTTAAGTTTCATTATATACGATAATGATGGGATTTTTGGGCATGGGCTGTCATAATCAAAGAGCTTAATGAGTCCAGGAAACCATTGCTTCCGTAACGGCTCAAATGGAGCGTCCACAGTCTGTCAACACCAAGAGTAGGGTGGACCAAGCCCAAAGGAAAAGGCCCAACAATACCAGAGGACCTGGACTCCAGCCTTACTCCAATCCAACTTAGTCGTATGTCAGCTCAAATAGAGAAGTTCAGCCCAACGCCTATCTTGAAGCACCCTCGTCGCGCCACATGTCCAAAAGACAAAGGGGACCACTTCTAACACTCATAACAAACACACACTCCCTGGTACTGAGAGTGTTAGTGCGCATAATTGTTCAGAGATTGTGGGCACAGTGGCATCGTGTGGCAGAGATTATTACAGGACAAAAGTGGAGGACCAACATAATCAACAAAAAAAAAGAAAAAGCCTCAGGAAACCCTAGAAGAATCACTTGTATAAATATGACACTATTACACTACAGAAAGGGATTATCTCCTTCATTGGCACTCTCGAGCCATTAACACAGTCTAGCTTACTTGAACATTGTTCTTGTAAAGGCCATGAGTCAGGTATACCATTGTACTCACCAAAAATTAAGTAATATACAATTTTAAGGAGCAAAAGACTCCCTTATAGTGGACATAACCTTAGTCCTGCAGTTAAGGTGAATCACTTATATTGTGTTCTGGATTTTTTCTTACTGTTCTATTCATTTCCGTTTTTTACATTTACTGTACATCGCCTCCGGGCCAACTAGTTTGGGTACGGAACTTGGGCTAGTATTTTCGGGCACCATCAATGTCAATTTTATTTTAAGTTTCATTATTTCAAATCTTTATAAAGTAAATGTTTTTTTATAAATTGCAGAAAATTACTAACGTCCCTTGATATTTTTATAAATAATATTGCCATTCTCTCATATTTCATTACTATCGTAGAATCTCTTATGTTCAAACATAATGTCAAATAGACCTCTCTAATAGTTGAAAAAATGAGCGTAAATTAAATTTTTAACCATATATTTTCTACTGATTGATATAATTTATAAAATAGAATTTTCGTGATTGCATTAAATTATTATTATAATAGTGTTATCTATGTTAAAAAATACTATTAATAAAGAGAGGAGGAGGAGGAATCTTGTGTGCTAACGAAAGGAGTATTTAAAAAGCTTCGTCCATTGCGACAAAGTGAGACTAATTGATTGCGAGAGAACATGAGTGAATGAACGAGTGGACCGTGTCAAGTGAGCCTAGATTTTTTTAGGTTGTTCGCCATATTAAAAAAATAAAAATATATTGTGAGACAATGAATACTTTTTTCAAATACATCGCATGTGTTACAAAAATAAAACTAATTTATATGATGTTTAGGATATGAGCAAATTAACCATAACTCAACTTGTGCTATGATGCAATATAATTTAAAATTAATTTTTATATATTATTTTTTAAAAAAAATAATTAAATGTTTTTTTTCAAAATATATGACAAGCCATCGAGCTTCGTCCACTCCACTTCAACTTCCAGAGATGATAATACGACTGCAAGTCCTCTTTCAACCCTTAAACCCCAGCTCCTACCTCACTCCCCCTTCAAAACGCACAAAAAACCCCAACCCTAACCCTAAGTTTAACCCCATCCAGAAACCCAAATCTTATAAACCTCTCAAAAATGGCCTCACCAGCACCAGCAGCTCGCCGCCACAACCCACCACGGATTGTGGCCTCAGGTTCCATGAAAAACTCCTCTACCTCGAAACCCTTAAAGTCAATCCCACAAAAGCCCTTGCCAAAAACCCATATTTCCGGTCCACCCCACTCTCCTTCCTCAAATCCGTCGAAAACTGCCTTTCCTCAATGGGAATAGAACGCTCCGCCTTCGGTCGCATCTTCGACATGCACCCCCAACTCCTCACCTCCGATCCCTACACCGACCTCTACCCCATTTTCGATTTTCTGCTTAATGATGTTCATATCCGCTTCCCTGATATACGAAAATCAATAATCCGATGCCCCAGACTCTTAATTTGCGATGTAGAAGATCAACTGAGACCCGCATTGTGCTTTTTGAGAAAATTAGGGTTTGAGGGCCCGAATGCTCTCAATTGTCAAACCACATTGCTGTTGGTTTCTAGTGTGGAGGGTACTTTGATGCCCAAATTGGATTATTTAATGAGTTTGGGGTTGGGGTATGAGGAAGTGGTGAATATGGTGTTGAGGTCACCGGGGTTGTTAACGTTTAGTATAGAGAATAATTACAGACCCAAAGTGGTGTATTTTTTGAATGAGATGAAAGGGGATATAAGGGAATTGAAGAGGTTTCCACAATATTTTTCCTTTAGTTTGGAGGGTAAGATTAAGCCACGACATCGCCTATTGGTTGAGCATGGGTTTTGGCTTCCATTAAAGGAAATGTTGAAGGTTAGTGATGGAGAGTTTAATGCCAGGCTGATTGAGATGCGGCTGCGGTTAGCTGGATGAGACTTAGTTGTAGTAAGTTGCTCATTCTTCATCATATTGCATATTTAAATTGGTTATTATATGTGCAAATTTTTAGCCGAAGTATTGATTGTTCTCATGTATGTGGCATAACATTGTTTTGCAATATAAGATTGTGTAAATTTGTCTGATACAATGGACCAACAAAAAAATTAGTGGGGTGGTCTATTATATGCCGCACGCATCATTTCAGCAAGCAACAGTCTTGTTAACTTCTTACGTGGCTTTTTCAGGGCCACCAGACTATATAAAAATCAATGCAAAAAAAGTATTCAAGCAAAATATCAGTTGTCTCCATAAATACTCTACCTTCCCAAAATAGCATTTATCTACTTTTAGGATTGGGATGCACAGGAATTTCTGCCAAATTGGAGGCCTGATTCAGTGGTTAGTGATGTTCGATCACTGGTAGTGGTAAATTAGTGGTCTAAGACCATTGAGACTAGTGGAATCTGGGTAAGGATTGAGGAAGATTGAAGGGTGACTAGCCCCATCATCGCTCTTATCTATAGTGGATGACTATATTTATTCTTATTCAACCGCTGGTGCTGGGTCTTTCTCTATTGTTTTCTCCTTTCCTTTAAATATTATTTAGATGGAAAGAAGCCTAGTATATAATGATTTCAATGTACATGGTGTGTATAATTTCTGTCATTACGAATGTGACAGTTCAAATGCAAACCTATTAATTACTTCTTGCTTTCAATTTTCCATATTTTATCTTGAGAAGAAATGCCATCCTAAATTCAAAGCTTAGGCATGCCATTGTTAGATTGTCCAATTCACCAGAGAAAAAAGTCCATCTTCTAGGATTCTAGAACACCACCTCACCTGATGATTCTACAATTATGTTTGAACAATTTTCTAAGTGACATAATCTCTTTTACATTGTAATATTTAGTAGAGGAAGATTTCATTAGGCAATCATACCTTACCTTCCCATAAAACCCTCACTATGTTATATAGTAATCAACAATTAAAATGAAAGACAACATGAATCACTTGTCTTGAGCACTACAGAAAAATCGTTTTGCAGGGCCATTTGTTTTTGTTTTGGTGACAAAAACTGATACACATTAGGAATTTTTAGCTTTGGTATTTTGCCGGCGCAAGAACGTTGGACAGAGTCCAAGTTTGTGCTTTAGTAATCCCAAGGTAAATCAAAAACCTGGTATTTTCTTGCAATCTGAATAAGGAAACAGAGCAACCCTATAGCTTATGATTTCGTTTACTTTTTAGTTTCACCTAAGGATTCATTTACAACAAGTATCCAATCAAACTTTATCATGCCAAACAAAAATAGAAAATGTCCATAAGAAGTGTCACTTGATCCATGAACTATTAATTATGTCAATATCATCCATAGAGTTTCCAATACGTGAGAGTGATGTCATGCAGGTAATAATGATGACATCAACAGGGCTTTTGCAGTAGGAAAGGATGAGTGGTAATTATGACTTTCAATTAGTCAACCTGGAATATGTATAACTTCCATGTAGTGAGCTACATCTTTTTAGTTTTGGCCGACCAAAAAGGATAAACCCTGTTTCAAAATGCTGAAATTGCATTGCACTTAGTGGTGATATGTTAGACTTCAGCCTCTCTGACTACGTTTGCGCGTCAAGGGCATATTTACATCGCAAGAAAATCAAGAAGAAAAACTGATTTGAACTTTCAATGCTTTGTGCACTGACTCTGGCTCAATTCCCTCCCCATGTGGGACTGAGGCAAGTGTTCATTACCAGTGTTGTTTGTGTTTAAAACATCTCCACTAGAGTGTTGTAAGAAGTATTATTGATGCCCTCTATTCTGCTCTGATTTGACTCAATTTCACATAGGATATTTTTCTGATTCGCACTGAATCTATAAACCTTAGTCGTTGAGGTGGAGGACTAGGCAGATTAGCTTAGCATGGAGCCCATTAACAAGGCCCTCCTAAGGTAGCACCTTAACTCTACCTGGAGATCTGAACTAATTTGGAAACTGGGTTTTTGGAAATCTAATACTATTAGGAAACTTGGGTTTTTGAAAAACTGACTCACTAACGCTTTATAGTGAACTTATGCTATTGTAATTCGCCTGTGGATGTAACATTCGATTAGAACCATGTAGTTTCATGTGTCCAGTGTGTTTGTGTTTCTGTTTCTGTTTGTTATTATTTTGTGACCTCTTGTACAACAGTAAGTTTGAAAAGAATTAAGGAGTATTAGAGGCGATGAAGCAGGGGAACATATTATAAATCCAAACTTATGGGAATTTCTTGATCATTCTTATATATTTTAGGCTTAGTTACATTATATGTTCGAAAATAGTTCCTACTGCATTTTTCTTTGCTGGTTTTTGAGAGAAGAAACATACGTTATATCTGATACTAGAAACTGATCTACAGGATATTAGAAATCATCTTCCACAGGACAAGGCTTCCATTTGCAACTTGTCACAGCGTACACCACAGAAAAAAAGTTAAACGAATTATGGTCATCTCATTATCTGCAAAATGTTAACAAAACACCATGTTCGGTTAACAAGCAAAACACATTGAATTCATTTCAGTCGTTTCACCAATCTCCATCATCCATGTTCCCCCAATATCTCATAAATAGTATCTCCCACTAACATACTGACTTCAGATTCAGGATAAGAACAGAATAGTGCAGTAGCAATAACATATATTTTCTGCCACCTTCCATTTCATTGTTGGGATATTCTTTCATATGCTGGTTTTTGACTTAATACATGTCTCATGAAGTGCTCCACCAAATTCACTGCCAAGACCTGCACTAAAAGTGGGAAAGTCTCCAAAAAGACATCACATATCTATCAAGCTCCATTGAATAATAGCAGTACCTGGACCATGCATATTGCCTTTTTACTAAAGCCACAAAGGCACCATAAAGCAGACAATATGCATTTTTCATGGAGGGGAAGGGGGACAAAGTTAGGCAACCCTCCATAACAATGTTTCTTTCCACCTTTTTGGCTTCATTTGAAATGATATGTGTGTGTTTCAACAACCAACACATCAAAAAAATGTCTGTAAAGAAGATGTTATAAATTGAGTGCTGGCCTTGAGAGAAGGGACATATGTTAAGCCTATGAATGACTTACAAACTGTAACACAAAATGCCAGCCAATCTTCTTCATCTGCTTGTGATTTTTGTGGCTTTCTCTCATCTAATCTTCTTGAATGCTGACCCAACATTAAGTAAATTTTCCTTTCTTATCTATTTCAAAAGTGGCTGACCTTGTTCCTGTTCTTATTCTTGACTAAGCGTTACTTTGTTTTTGTATTTACAGGGGCTAGGCGTCTGTTGCATGAAGGTGATGATAGTTATTTATCTGGGAATACCCACAAGGTGCATTTCACAACCATGAAAACCACAGTGAATAATATGAAATGGGCTTGACTTTAGATCCAAAAAGAAGTAACACATATACAGCTAACACGTTGATATTTTTCCTTCATCGTTTTTCAGATAATGGTGGTAGAAGCTTTGGAAGAAGGGCTTATCAATGGCAGGATGGATTTGGAGAACCATCTTAATGACTATCCAGGCTATGGAGCAAACAACCGGCATACGCCAAAGCCGCCAGAGAGAGACTAAGATATAGCTATACCATATATCCTTAGTAGTGGCTGGTAGCGCCGGTATTGTATACAAGAACAGTTCTAAAATTTGCTGCTTTTGTCCGACCTTTCCTTCAAGTTGTTAGGGGAAAGTGAGACAAGCACTAATCTTAGGATTGCTGCTAAAAAGATGAAGTGACTTAATATGTTATATTGGATTGTGTTATGATAATACCTAGTATAATCATGATACCTCATATGGTGTATATGATAAGCAGCTCTAGTTATTCTGGTTTGCAATAAAGAAGTATTACTGAACTCTTTTGTTTTCTTTCCTTATTTCTACCTGTTAATCAGATTATGATGTGTTGTCGGTCACAATTTACAGACCTACTATTTCCATTACCCCTAACATCCTTTTTTCTGCTTCTTATACTTTATCTTGTCATGAAATATATTGGCATATAGATATTCAAAAAATATCTTTTTTCTAGATACCTAAATATTGCTGATTACTCCTGTTAAAATGGAATGTAATACAGAAGTACTTGTGGTTGTGACCAAACATCTTCTGTAGATATGCAAAGGTTGCCATGAGAATGCTGAAGGATGACTTGGATTTTCCCTTGTGCCCTTAAATTGATCTTCTCTTAGTAAGAACATCTAGAGTAGTCAAGATGTACATGGAGAGAGAGAGAGAGAGAGAGAGTACTATTTTGGCTATCAACCATTGATCACAATGACCCAGTTCAGACAACTGGCTGTGATTACGATTTGAAACAAATAGGACGTTAATCTAAATTCAAGTTACAATTGTTTTTACAATTAGTAATTACCAAAGGCACTATGTAAAACAGTTAGCAATTTTTTTAGAAAGGTGCTTAAAGGTTGATCTGTAAATTGTCTCGGATCATACGGGTTTATGTTGGGATATTAATAAGTTCATGTTTAAAAATATTTCACTCATACTGAGTTCATTTATCAATTCATGTGTTAACAAATCATATAATATTGGCTTCGTATAACTAGTGCTTAAACAAGTGGTGTCGTATATTTTTTTTAATATATTTTATTCATATCCACTTTATTTTTTAGTTGTCTTGTATCGTGTCAGATCCATTCATTTATAAAATGAATAACTTAAAAAATATTCAAATTTTTTTATTTCATGTCGTATTAATATATCTCATATTTTGACAACGCTAAGTAAAACCTTTTGTCTTTTGTGCAATTAATACATGATGAGTCCACCAAAATATTACCAGACAACAAACATTGTTTCTGCAATTTTTTTTTTTCCCTATAAAAAGACTTGGGCATCCAAGGCACCGGGATTTCTTCAATCTAATCATGAGTGTTAAAAAGGAAAATGGCTGGGGAACCACCTAAACCCTCCACAAGATGAAAAGCATAGACACTTAAAATAGAGACCTAACAGTGGAGGAAGTGGAGCTGAGGTGTCAACCACTTAAAACCCAATTACTAGCATTGATTGAAGACAACTACCACTATTCATATATTTTTCATAACCGATCTCAATAGTTCATGATCGTTTTTTTTAAAATTTTAACTTGAGTCATTTTGATTTTTAATTTAAAATATTAAAAATCGTAATTTAACCTGCAAAAATTGTAAGTTTTAATACGATACCTCATTCAATACTGTCTTTTTCTCATAGCAAATTATCATCTCTTTCCCCACAGACCTATCTGTTTCCTTGGCTGCTGTTCACTAGGACTTTGTTTTAGTAAGTACTTCCACCTAAAAAAGTTTGGGTTATTATATTTGAGCCACAGAGATCGAAGTATACAGATGAATTGTTACGATTGATATCATTAACAAAATAATTTACATGTTGAATTTGGCTGGTACAACATATCAAGTCTAACGTTTACTAAGATTAACCTTCTAAGTATGTTTACCTATTCCTTCGGGTTGTGATGGATTTGTTGTGATTGCCTTGACTTATGTTGCTAGTTAATAGATAAGCAAGAAATTATCGTCGTCTTTTGGGTGTTTCTTAGAGTAGGAGGCAAATGTAGTACTGCTCTTGCTAAAAGTTTGTGTCGAGTGATCTTAGAACGTGTATTAGTTATGATATACATCTTATCATTCTTTCGAAATAAAACTTTTTACCTATTGGAAAAAAAAAATGTATCAAGTCTATTCTTATAGTGAGATGTATATAATCATCAAATGGAAAGAGTGAATACCAAAAGGACATGAAAGATTGATCCAAGGGAATGTAGATGATGTGCTACAAATCTCCAATTGTTTTTGGTAAACACAAATCTTCACCTTTCTTTGATATTCATCTGAACAACTATAATTGCTAAAGAGACTTGACTTTCTAATGTTGTCATTCATGTCGACTTGCAGGCCATTTTGAGGAAGTAGTCTGCATTCAATGGACCTTTTACATCTAAAATGGCTTATGTATTACGTTGAATCAACACAAACTAAGGAGAAAATTGTAAGTCATGAGCAAATTATTTGACTTAAATTTCCTGTTCAATGCCCCAGCAGAGTTGAAGTGTCGAGTTCAGTCAAACTGTCCCTTCAATTGTAAGGAGCACCATTAGATCAAAATTGGAGTTTAGGGTCTTATAATCAACTACCAAGATCCTCAAGTTGTGTGGAGTGAACAGACCATAGATATTAGCATCTTCCAAGATAACTTTACAGCCAAATTGAAACAGTTTTTTTTTTTTTTTACAATTTTCCTAAGACTCCACTTAGTTTCTTTCTAGACAACCTTATGATCCTTGTCATGGCTGCAAGTAGAGCTTTTAAAAGCTCAACCGAAATTGCCAGGGATCAGCAAGTTCAAGATTGTATCTAACATCTGATTGTCTTGAACATTATCGACTCTTTAGATATAGTATGGTAGTTTACAAAAGGTATACGCAATCTTCAAGTTTATATCTAACACCTGATTTCTTACATTTTCAGTCCTTGTTTCACTTGTAGGTATGTGACTCAAGTCAAAATACAACTACATGTCTTTGGTGAATGTGTGAAAAATTATCATTTGACAAATATGTTTCTCCAGTATGCTAGATTTGGTAGATTCCACACTGGTTCAAAATTTCATGCTGCTGAGCTATTCCTAGATAGAGAAGCTAAGATGTGATTTTGTGTTCAGTACACGGAAGATAATCTATTTGTTTGTAAAAAGAAGGGGTTTCAATAAATTTTTCTATTTACTTTAGTCACGAGTAAGATTTCAGCGTATGACAGCTGTTTTCTTAATCGACACATTCCATTACTGAAACTTTTGAAATGAACAGCACTAGACAAACTAGAGTTGGTCCATTAATACTTAGATTAAATTGCTTGATTTCATCTTGTTCTGAGGAGAGATATTAGCACTGCAGAACTCATGGCATGCTCTTGGATGTTGGACTTAAACACAGAGATGACACACCTGCATTAACATAGTAACTTTAGTCTTTTCCTTCATGCCCATTCTGATTCACTCTTTCAAAACTATTCACTTAAGTGACATATTGCTCGTGTCCTTTTCAATAGGCATTCATGTTTTATCTGTAAAATTGCAGGCATAAATTTCAACTAAGCTTTGGAGGAATGGTGACAAGTTCTTTTTTGTTTTGCTTTTCCAGATTCCTGAGGCCACATTCTGCTCATCTCCTTTCCCTGCTTATGGATGTGTAATATCTCCACCAAAGGGGTCCTTTGAAGAATAATAATAATTGACGAGGCGACTTTTTTTAGATGCATTATGATTCACTGGACCTTCTGCTACTGACCTAAAGATACCAAGGGGGTCATTTGGCATCATTCTAGATTCTCCTTTACCTGTTATGTGACATATTAAAGCAAGAAAAGGAGCTCCAAGCACAACAGCTGGTTAAAGAGAGAGGTATTTCAAGAACTCTTACTTTTGTTTTTCCCAAATATTTGGGCCACCAATTGTAAAACTCTTAAAGTATGACCTTGCCACTAAGTATTCACAGCACATGCGCCACGCGCCTTCTTTGGACCAAGACTCCTTAGAGATAGGGCCTAGGCAGAAGAGGATGTACTGGGTCAACCATGACCCTTTTTAAGCATATGTCTTTCAACTGCCGCCAAATCTCCTCGTTCAGTCATGTGTGCTCCAAGCTGCTACAGGCTTTCTATCCAAATCAGCTACTACAGCTAAATGAAACCAAAAGCAAAGCTAAAAACCTGAATTCCTAGCTGCTAGAGCTAAATCTAAGGCTACTATACATCTTAGTTGTAGCATTATTGAATAGTTTCAGCCAAGAAACCCACTGCTTGTTTGATCACCACATAGATTTTTCTAATGATCAGAATTTTATCCAAATGGAAAGATGAAGGTGAATCGATTAACTTCAATGTAAAATTTGACGCTAAACGTTCCCGTTAACTGCATTTTTTATAGTCATTACTAGTGTCCAGCTCACTCAGTTTCTCTAATGAAATACTCAGTGTATCCTATCTTTCTCACTTTTAATCCTTTGAAATTGATTATGAATGCAGCAGAACCAGCTAAATGTATGGCACTGAGATGACAATACTTTGGAGGTCAATCATTGGATTTTGATTCCAGTTCCAGAGGTTGGACTTTTTGTGAACAACCGAGAAATCCAAAGATTGATCTGACCTAACTGACTTTTACGATTTATTGTTGGCCATTGTTGTCTTCCTTTTTCTTTTTTTCTTCTCTTTATTCATAGCTTATCTTGATCGAATTTTTTTTTTCCCTTCAGTTCAGCTTGGACCTGGATTACAAAAAAAAAAAGCTAACCTTCCCTTTGGAATATGTTTTTATTGGACCTTTATGCGAGAGTAGCCCCTTTAATTGCTTTCCTCCCCCCATTTTCTTTGTTTTTCCTCTGATCCTTTTGCATTGCCATAAGGTATACAGCTATAAACTATGTGGAGATTTCTCTCATTTACTTGTGCATGTGTATATGCGTATGTGTGCGTGAGAGAGAGATTCTACAATGACTTGTGGGTTTTTTTTTTAATGGCATACTCACTACCACCATGGGAAGGCAGTTCAAATTCAGACTTGTTTCTTCAGTTTATCATTAGCTTGATATTCAAGCTATCATAGGCTAGAGCTTAGATTTAAAAATAAAAAAAATTACTCCCCTGTTGAATTGGTGCCACAAAATTAGCCAAGTAAAACATAGCAGGATTCATAGTCTAGTCTGTATCAATAAATTCAGGTCCTTCTTTTCCCCTGTCATTGTAGAAGAAGAACAATAGATAGGTTTGGATGTTAAGTTTCAAGAAATGAAAACAAACCATACACTTTCCCTCTTTTCTCTCCTTTTGAGACTCAAATAGAATTGTGCTCCTTTAACAGGTTCTGCAAACTCGGAAAGAAAGGGAGAGGTTGTTCAACTGAAACACGAAACCAATGACACCGATAAGTGCAAGGGAAATTCTATTGTCGTCTCACTGATGGAAGTGCATCGAGGAGAGAAGGGTGAATCGAGAAGTCAAGCTAGTGGAAGGAAGAGATCAAGTGGAAGCACCACTTCTGATGGTAACTATATTGAGCAATCATATGCTTAAAGATCACCAGCTCATACTGAGGACGCAGGCGACCAATTGAGAAAGTTTGGATTACTTGATACCCTTGATTTAAACCACCAATTTCTAAGTGAATTTGGTACAGGACCAAAAGCAATAGCCTTGAAACAGTTGAACTGCAAGGGAGTTGAGCAATTCAGTGGACATCTTTAGTGCTTTGAGACGTTGAAAGCATGGACCCCAAAGAAACTTTAGGAAGTACATGCATATTGAAAGATGAGGTATATTTTGAATAATCTCTCCCCCTCTCTCTCACTCTCATGCACGCGTGCACACACAGCGTGCATGACCCTATACAATAGGCCTGTCAATTTTTTGAGGTGAGACGATCTTGTACAATAGGTGGTCTGTCATGTGTTTATTAGACCTGACTGGTTGATGTCGAGTTTTAAAAGTTTTCGTGTCAAAAAACATTTTATATATTCAATTCATTTATTAATTTTTATTTAATAAATTGTGTTATATTGAATTCATATCGTGTATAATTCATATGTAAACGAATTATGTCATAATTTCTTTTGATTGACTTCACTCATAATCAATTTGTTTATTAATCGTGTTGTGTTAGTTCCATTCGTTACGAAACAAGTAATTTAAAAAAGGACTCGAGCCCTCTAATTTCGTATCATTTTGACGAGTTATATTATATTTTAACTAGTGTCAGAAAACTGAAACAACAAACTTGAAGAAAATTACTCAGATTCAATTAAGATTGGTTCAAATAATCAGACTAGGTTAACAAGAGTCTCAAAGAATGTTTCACCATGTACATTATATTCCTTCATGAATCAAAAAAAAAAAAAAAACAATCCTGTCAAACAACTCTCCTTCTTCCAACACATTATTCTTCATCAGGGTAGTGGACACTTAATAGTTTGGATAGTGCCTCTTTCACACCAGTCAATGCTGTGGAATCCATCCAGAGAGATAAAAGGGAAAAGTGTCCCATTAGAGCATCTCCAACCCCCTCGTCATTGCCAGTTTTTTAGCCATTTTGGCGAGCAGAATTTTAAATTTGGTGTTCCAACGCTCTAGCTATCCACCTCGCCAAAATTTAGGAAGCCTAGTCTCTCTCCCTGTCTTCCTTCCTCTATTTCTACACTGTGAATCGGTCTTCCTTCCTCCATTTCTACACTGTGCATCGGTCTTCCTTTCTCTTTTGGGTATGTCTTCCTTCCTCCAATATATGTTTTTCCGCTCAGCCTGACTTTTTGAAATTTTTTGAGATGAGTTTCTTTTAATTGTTTATAATATGTTTGATGAATTGTCTCAATTAGAAATGCAATTCAACCATGTAGAATCCTATGTTAATTTTTTCACATACGAAAAGAAAATGACCCAAAATACAGATGGAAAGAGAGAAAAGTTTTAGAGAAAAATGGTGAGGGTGAACCATGATAAACAGAACAAGGCGGGGATATTATTCATGGCCACTCTGGTTATGGGGTGTGTCTCTGTTTTCTTTAAAATGCTATTCAGTAAACGGATTCAGCTGGTATCAATCCTTGCCGGTTTTTATTTCTACCAATTTTCCAACTGGGTCATCCGTAATTGGTTGCTAAGAAAGCACAGGAGAGAAAAAAAATGGAATTTTGCTTCTATATAAAATGCTAGTCTTTTAGGTTTGTTGTTTTTATTGGCGTGGTCTTTTGCTCCCTGAACTACGGTGCTGTTTTGCTCCCCCTCCCTGAATTGCAGTGTATTTTTGAATTTTATTATTAAAAGTTAGTTAGTTAGTTAAAATAGTTAGTTAAAGTAGAGTGTGATTTGAGTAAATTTTAAAAATAAATAGTTAAAATAAAAAATTTAATATTTAAATATATTTTGAATAACCATTTTACTTTTACAGACCGTAATTAGAGATATTCTTACAATTAGAGATATTCTTACAATAGTAACAATACCAACTACACAGACCCGTGATCACAAATATACCATTTGATCTTAATTCATCTGTTTATTCATCCAACTCAAGAGTTTGGAAGAAAAAATATAAATATTTATTAGTAAACTCCAACTTAGATATTTAAAATTCATCACGATTTCAAGCAGATTAGACAATCTTGTCAAATCTTAATTCTAATTAATTGTCACATCCATGTTAATCCATCTGAATCATAGGTGATTTTGAGTAACCATAGGAGGAAAATAAGATTTATTATCGAAAAAAATAATATAAAACAGATTGGATGTATATACACAAGAGAGACGCCAAACAAAAATCTTGCAAAAGTGTCTCTCTAATTCTCTCTATGAAGATCAGGTCTTGGAGGAATCTGAAGAGAGGCAATGTCTCTCTAATTCTCTCTATGAAGATCAGGTCTTGGAGGAATCGAAAAGGAATCTGTCCCTAGTCTTTCAACCGACTGATTCGTGTGTGTCTCCCCTTCTCCTCTCACTACCGAATGAAAAATTCAGCCAAATCTCTCTTATCCTCCCTCTACCTTCTCCATCACCACCACCACTTTTCTTCTTAACATCATCTTCATCAACAGGCATCTTATGCCTACAAACAGGACAAGACCCATGAATTCCCAACCACTTCTCTATACACTCCCCATGAAACCTATGCTTACAAGGCATTTCTTTGGCCATCCCACCAACTTCCCACTCCTCCAAACACACCACACACTCACCATCTTCGCCTTCTCTTATCTCCACGCTTGGCATGGCCTCGATTGATGCTTTTGAGGCTGGTGGCTGACCATCCTTGCTCAGTAGGTCACGGAGCAGAGAATCCAAGCTCGAAGATCTTCCTTCTATAACCACCATGCCCTGTGTTAATGGATTGATAAGAATTATCCGATCTCGTTGTGTGGGTGTTTCTTGATCTGGGTCAGTCAAATCCTGATCAGGGTTGGTGGTGGCTGGGTTGTTTGTGAAGCCTAGGATGATGGGTAGGAACATAGAGATGTCTCTGTTTCTTGAACTTATCAAACGTTCGATCAAAGATAGTTCAGAAAACTCTGTTTCAGAAGCCATTGATTGAGAATTGTACACAAGAGAGACAGAGAAGGTGGAAGAGGAGAGAGAGAGAGAGAGAGAGAGACAGTGACCGGGGGGGGGGGGGGGGGGTTAATGATAGGTTTTGCAGATTTGAAAATTGGGTTTGGTTATAAAAGAAGATGGACCGCCCACAGGAAGGTTGTAGAAGGATCTGGAATCGTTATCTACTGAGTGGCAAGGTTTTGATCGTGTACCGGGGGTCCAGTGTCTTTGTCGTAGACAAGCAATGGACAAAATAGTAAAATTGCTACACGTATAAAATGATACTAGTCTAATGTCCATTTGATATAATGAAAAAATGGAATGATCGAAAATTAGAAGAATGAAAAGTTTGAGGAAAAAATAAAATATTATATTTGGTAAAAAAAAAAAATAGGAAGAATGAAAAAGTGGATAGAAATGTGTATATATATATATACTTTAAAAAAATTTTAAAAAAAATTAATTTAAATTAAAAAATATATTTTTTTCATCTTAACTATGGGTGAAAATTTTAGACTCAACACGATAACACGATTCGAATTCAACACAAATTTTATGACACGAACTTAATTATAACTCGACACAAACTTGAAAATGATCTGACACGTGAACAAGAAAAATATAAAAGGTTCATAATTTTATAACTCAACATGAATCAAATACAACACGACTCGATTGTCACCCCTAATATTATACCAAAAAAATTAAAAAAAATAAATTGGTCATTTTTATTTTTCATCCATACAATCAAACACAAAGGAAGGAAAGTGTATCATTCCTATTTTTCATCCTTGAAAGATAGAAAGTGTATCCCTCCTACTTCTCATCCTTCCTACCAAATGGAGCATAAGAGATAGTTCAAATGGTAACAAGTAAATTCAGACGTCTTATATTTGAATTTTGACAGTTCCTTGAAGCCTGGTTAGGAGAAATTTATTTCTCATAGATACCCTTATCTCGGTGTAGATGATCTATCTTTAACTATACCAAAAAAAAATTAATTAATTAATTAAAATACGCATAAATTAATTTGAACATTGAACAAAAAAATAAAAGTAATACCAAGTTAACGTGAATTTTATTGGAAGCATGTAACAAATTTCATATGATACAAACGAATCATAAATGACTCGAGAAAGTATTAGACACAAATAATTGATTTAGCTACTAACATAAAAAGAAAATGACCATTTCCTTATATTTTTTATTTCTTTATTTAGTTAATGGTGTATAGATTGTTTTTGAATTATATAATCTTTTAATAGCACAAACAACATTACAAGCAATATAAATATGATTAGATATGATTAACGAGTCTTTAGTTTAATGATATTTTGTGAAAATTTTGTCTTCTTGAGATCAAAGATTCAAATCTCTTGAGCGATAAAAACATTGTTGATCGGTAAGATAAATTTCAGTTACTTAAACAAATCATATCCAAGTCTTTAATGTGTGTTTGAATTTATACTAAAGCGCAAGTCCTAATTTATTTGATGTATTAATTAAGAAACCAATTCATAAACTTGAGATTTGTCCTTAATTTTACTCAGACTCATGAATCTAAAACAATAAAAGCACGTCTCTACTCAACAGAGACCAACCAAAATTTTTTCTTATTACCAAAAAATAAATAAAAATGATATGACGTGACTCGAGTGACATTCGTACTCAAAGACTTTTATTGATCATCCAATTGATTATTAATATCTCATATTATTTGGTATTTAGAATTTGTTAATTTGTTTTCTATATACCACATTAGCCAGAACATAGTTTTCTATGCTCATAAGTCAGCACCCGGTTTGACATCAGCAATGACTCCAAATCTAGCGTTTTCATAAAAATAAGAAAAATCAACCATTCAGTCAAAGGAAAACAGCGGAACTTAGGTTAATTTTCGAAAACCACTAACTATGAGATACATGTGAAACCCTGACATGCATGACATAACATTTAATTAAATACATTGATATAATGGAGAAGATGTATAAAATTTTAAGGAAAAATAGAATTTCTAAAAAAATTTGGGGAGATAAATGTAATTACTTAATATATTTATGCTAGTTATGCATGAAATGAGGTATAAGTTTGTATAACACACATAAATTTCCATTAGATAGGTAGTAAATATTATTTGGGTTTTATATATATATATAGTTTAGATTATATTGTAGATGATGGGTGAAAAATAGAAAGAATAAACATGGGTATAGATTAGGTGGATAGATGTCCACCACACATGAATTAGTGGTTGATTTTAGCTCAAAAGAGATGGACGGATGGCGATTGGTGAGATTTTTTCATTTTGGTGGGTCATTGTGTAGTTCTTTTAAGTTAGCGTGTGCATATAAGAATATATATATATAGCTAGATGTGTACGAACAAAACACATACAAGTTTTCCTTTGGTGGGCCAATTAGAAACCAGCTGGACATTACTTTGTGCATGACTATAACACGTGTATGTGTGCGTGTGTGTAAGCAAAGCAAGTAATGGGTTAGGTGTCCTTATTATGTGTTTAGTAGGTAAGGACAAGAGAAATGACAAAATAAAGAAAAGAAAAAAAAAAGAGATAGCAAGATCAAAGAATGGGCGATGAAAGGGGAGGTGTGAACCGGGGTCTCTGAGCTAAGATTCAACGATTAATTCTATTCTGATTGTGATAAAAATTTAGTATATTATTCATATTGTCGTGAATCACAGATCTATCGATTTTAATTTAGAATTAAGTATGTGCAGTACATACTGGATAATTTGATATTTATGTATTAATTATTCTCTTAAGTTTCGAATTGACACTAGAGTAATGATTTAATGTGTTCAAAAGAAAATTTTAATTATTAGTTATAGAAATTACATGAGTATAGTGGTGGCAAGCATAATATCACATGGTTAATCAAGTATAAACGAGGTAGCTTTGTTTGAAATATTAATTACACGTGGGTATTCATAATCAGTAGATGAGATTAAATGGTTTAAATGCTACCATGCTTTATTATTATTGAAATTATGAGGTTGAAATTTAAGTTGTTGAAATCAATAGGTAAAAATAAGTGTTAAAATTCAAGCTGTAAATTAATGTTTGATGATAGAATTTTTATATAAAAGTTGAAATAGTTTCCTTAAGTGTTGAAAAAAAATAGTTAGATGAATGGTGGTGTTATTTACATACTATAAAAAAAATATTAGAGTGAATTAAAGTAGTCCTAATGTGACCGAGATATACTAATTGAAAAGATTAACGAAGTCAAAGTATGATTGTCGTAAGTAGAGCATCAAATATATATTCATATGTATTATTTGCATCAATTGAGTAATTTTTGGTTGATGCTCACTTTGCACATATGCTAATTATTAAGGTCGGAGGTTACTACCTCGGTCGCTCATAGGGGTCGACTGTAAAGCGAGGAGGGGTATTTGTCAAAGATAAATGTGAAGTGTAATGCATCATAATACTTAAAAATAAAGTATATGATATATTAAGTTTATTCTCGTGTATGTGAGAAATCAATTTTGTCGAATTGATTTGCTTAAACTATGGATCAAATATGTTTTTATGAAAAATTTGAGTATTATCCACTATGCCGAGTTATTGATAGTTTGATATGGTTTACATGTTGTTGATTTAAACACTGCGCAGTTATTGTGAAATAATTTGACATTGCTTAAATGTTGTGTATAGCCTGATATTGCTTATATGTTGTTGTTTGACTTGTTGCTTATGTGTATATTTACATATTTTGATATATAAAGATGATTTGAGTTTCAAAGTGACTTGAGTTCATTTTGGTTGTAATTTGCGAGTTATGAGTATCTTTTGGTAGAATTATATTTGATCCATATTTTTGTTATATTTCCTTTGATTGTTACACTCGATAAAATTATTGGTTTCAAGATGCCGAAGTTTAGAGTGAGGTCTACTACTGCACTAGCATGGTAGAGATGGGGGGGGGGGGGGGGGGACTAAGGAATCTAGTTATGTACATACTGTACAGAAGTGTCTATTTTCCTTATTGTTTGTTGTAAAGGGATGAAATCCATAATCTTTTATTTTGATAAAAATGACATCGTTGTGTATTTTGTTATATAGTTTTCTGTTTTGATGGTGGCATGAGGTGACATTATTGATTTTTAAATGCATTAATGCATTACTGAAATACAAACGCAAGTATCGTCACGTATTGAGTTACACTTCCATCTCTGAAAAATCAACAAGGGTCTCTCTGAATGAGGTATGACAAATAACATCTAGAGTAGCACGATCATGGAGACTCTGCACCATAATTTTTAGTGAGTACCTTTTATGTAGACTGTTAGATCATGATCTAACAGTCACTAGGAAAAGATGCTCAAAATTAATTATGAAGACCTACCAAATTTAGTTCTTTATTAAATAAGAAATACCTATAACATATTTATTGTGATCTAGTCCTATTAGGAAAGTTTTAAAGGTTAATAATAAAAAAAATTGACTCTTAAATATTAACGAATTGACCCAATGATTCAAATGATTTTTATATTTACCCATCTTATTTATTATACCTGCATTGGTTAAAAAAATAAAAATAAAAAAAAATAACGGATTATAGATTTTTATAATTCTTTGATCAAATTATCAAATAACCAATCAACTGACCAATTGATTAACTAAACTATTCAAAAGACTTAAAGTCCTAGTGGGCTTGCATTCAGCAAGGGTTGAATCGTGATGTAAGAAATTACCTTAGCTAATGGATAGATGGCAAGGTAGCACAAACATTGCACTACCAGTTTTCTATGAACTTTTGCGCCTTGCTTGGAGCTAGCCGTAGTTTTTTTTAACCCAAACGTATATAATAAATTAGATGGATAAAAATAAAAATCATCCGGTTATTAGGTTGAGCCATTAATATTTAAAAGTCAAAATTTTTTATATTATTAATCTTTAAGACCTTCCTAATATAACTAGATCACAATAAATATGTCATAGATATTTCTTATTTAGTGAAGAACTA